CTGAGCAAACTGTACACGCTGGTCAGTGTGTCAGCGGATTGATGGTAGTTGTGTTGGGGCATCTGGATGAGGTCCCCATTGAAAGAAGACGAAGGCAGCCACAAGGCCCAGAGGACAACCCAGGGACGACAGGCTGCCCATGGCAAGAGATGGTCCTTGATGGCCTAAGACACAGAGAATTGGGAGCGGGAGCAAAAGAGGAGGGAGATGGACAGACGTGGCATCCAAGTGTCCAATGGCTCTTTCTTAGTGAGAGATCAGCCATTCTCCGGGTAGGTGCTGAGCTGTCCACATGGGAGCCCAAAGTCCACTCACCCCTCTGCTCTCTCCAGCTACAAATACGGAATTTGGGGGAGTAGGTAGGTGCAACTGAAATAGACAGTCAACACTTCGGAAGTCACACTTTGGAAGTTTGCTTCCAAAATCCCCTTAAAAGTACCTTAAAACAATAAACAAATTTTAAAAAAATATATTTTTAACTATAATTTGGTTATTCAATTGAGCGTAGCAGAAATTGGGAATAAAGAGAGAAAGCTCTGACACACAGCTCTGGAGAAGATGTTTCTCAATCTTATCTATATTTATCCGAAGACCTGTCTTTTAAAAGGACAACAGAGCTACATCCTGGCTCTGCCACTGCCCAGTTGGGTGATTCTGGGCAAGTCACTTAACATCTCTGGGCCCTGGTCACCAGTTGGGCTAGATGTCCACTAAGGACCCTTCCTGCTCCGTCTAGATCCTCTGGAGTGCCAGGTACTGTGGTCGGCAGGGAGGAGACAGAAGAATGAAAAGAGAGGATGGGGGAAGGGAAGGGCTCTAACCCTAATCCTAATTTAATCAACAGAAAGAAAGGGAAGGATAAAAACAAACAAGAAGATAGAAACAAAACAGACAAAACATCCAAGATGAGTCCTGCTTTTTTTCCCCTGCCTCCATTCCATTGAGGGCATACCTACAGGTGCGGTTACTAGCATCCTCCCTCTCAAACCACATTGTGTCTACCATTTATTCACTTTCCACGGACGCTGTCTCTGTTCTTCTGCGCCCTCGCTGACTCCCCTCCCAGCATGGGAGCTCCTTGTCCACAGAGACTGCTTCATCCCTCGTCTTTGTTTCCGCAGAGCCCCATCCCTCGTAGGCGCTTAATAAATGCTTCTGTGTTGATTGGTGCAGTAAGTATAGCTGCCCTGGATACGAGGCACTTTTTCTGCATCATCTTCCTTGCGTACGCAGGCAATGAGGAGAGACACATACTCAGGCTTTAACAGTCATAGATTCAGATCCAGAAAGGACCTTGGAGATGATTTAGTGAATCCAAGCCCCTCATTGTGCAGCACAGGGAAACTGAGGCCATACAGATAGTAATGGAGGAGGAGCTGAGATTTGACCCCCAGGCCTCTGAAGCTGAATATGCCATGACAGGCACATCTATAAATAAAATAGCTGTTTCTACATGTCATAGAGACTTCCACTTTCTGTGAAAGACAGTCTCCCAAAATGAGAAGCCAATAGAAGTGTATCTGGAATTCCACCTAGAAAACAAGTCTGAGCATTTCCTGCCCTAGAACCCTAGAAAATCACCTCTGGGAGATATCTGGGGGATCTATTTCAGGCTCCTGATCCATCTGATGAGGTAGCTAAGGCTCAGCAAGGAGGTCATGTGACTCCCACCGCAGCGTTCTTCAGTCTGGGGCTCACTACCGCTACATATCCCTGGTGGGGGCCCATGGCTACACAGCATTCACTGCATGTAACATCAGCCTTCTTTTTCCACACTGGTTACTTTTCCTGAATTGTTGTTTCCCTCGTTTTTATTCTTCCTTCTAAGGCAGGGCTCTGTGGAAGGAGGAAGGAGGAGGGCCCCACTGGGAAATGCAGGTGATATACAAAGGATTAATACAAATTTTATGTTAAAAAAAAAAAAAAAGGAGAGTTGACTCCATAGGTTGGGGATGCCAGCCTCTCACCATCACCGACATTTTTATGGAATTTTAAAGTTGGCCAAACTCTTCCTATATATCAACTTAATTGACTGTCACAACAACCTACAGACGCGATTATCCTCATTTTATAGAAGAAACTAGGGGTTTGAGAGGGGCAGTGACTCGTCCAGGGTCACGCATCTGCTGATGGACAGAGATGAAACTGGACCCCAGACCGTCCTGTGTCCAAGTCCAGCGCTCCATCCTCTGAGACCCGCTGCCTAGGCGTGTGACGTTAGGAAGAGAGACCTCTTAATCTGTCACTACTTGGACTTGGGCTGAGATCATTCTGCAAATTGACAACGGAAAGGCTTTCAGGGACTGCATAATACTCATTTTACGCCTGACAGTCTATTCCAATCCCCACATATATTGGAAATCTAGCTGGGAAAAGTAAGCGTCCTCTGCAAATTAACTGTGTACAAAATTGTGTTACGGTTTCAATTAAATCACAGCCTTACACTGCTCAAATCGCAAAGCATTGCCAATATTAATAAGGCTTTCCACTAAGTTAAATACAAGAATTGAGGCAATGCATTGTATTAAATTTTGCTGGATAAAAGAAATAAATTTCTTGATATCAATTTCAAAAATGAAAGAAGTTAAGTACATTAAAAAAAATTGTTCAAATATAAAATGGCTTGACAGCTATGTGCACGTATCCAAACACTCTCTCTGTCTCTGTCTCTGTCTCCCTCTAGATACTTACAAATATGTGTGTTTTAAAGGACTGTAGAAAAAGGGAGTTGTGGAATAAAGAGAAACCAAAGAGCTGAGAAGAGGACAATCGATGAATTCCATCTGGGGGGTGGGGGGGGGGTGAGGGTAAAACACATTTTCAACAGAAATGCTGCCACAGAACAGAGCTTGCTGGCGAGAGGTCCCTTTCATACCGTGGGCTCTGAGCTTTTCCTCACGATGTCAAATCCCCATTTGGAAGCTCGTTAGAGCTGCTCTGGCTCCTGATAGAATGCCAGTTTTCTCTGCTGACCCCTGGGACCCAGTGTTAGAGGAAACCCTGGAAGAAGGGCAGCAGTGTGCCCTTGACTGGATGTTGTCAGTCTCCCAAGTTCAAGGTTTACCCTTGGGGGGGAGGTCTGCTGGGGCTCCTTGCTGTGAGCCCAAAGACTGGGCTCTCCCACAAGGCCACAGGCTGTCTCCTCCTAATGTGGACAAGGAGCACTCCCTCTTCCTGCTGGCGCCCCAGGCTGAGGACATGGGACAGCAGAGCTGGCCAGCCCCACAGAAGTTACTGAAACCAGTTGTTTCCTAACCACGTTAACTCCAGAGCTCCAGCAGAAGGGTCAGAATGTTCTGCTCAAAGAGGGACGCAAAGCAGCGCTGGAGAGAAGCACGTTAGTGATGGCAGAATGGGGGACAGACAACGAGCCTGAGAAGGGAAGCGCCTGGGAGACAAACACTCCTTCCTTCTCTCCCCTCCCTTTCTCCTACTTGTCTCTCTCTCTCTCTCTCTCTCTCTCTCTCTCTCTCTCTCTCTCTCTCTCCCTCCCTGCTCTCTTGTTTATTTCTCATTATCTTGCTTCCTTCTATCCTTTCCACTTCTTCCTTCCTTCTCTCCCCTCCCTCCTTTCCTCTTTGCCTTCCTCCTCCTCCTCCTCTTTCTCTCTCTCTCTCTCCCTTCTTGCTCTCGTTTATTTCTCATTATCTTGCTTCCTTCTATCCTTTCCACTTCTTCCTTCCTTCTCTCCCCTCCCTTCCTCCTTTCTTCTTTCTCTTCCTCCTCCTCCTCTTTCTCTCTTTCTCTCTCTCTCTCTCCCTCCCTGCTCTCTTGTTTATTTCTCATTATCTTGCTTCCTTCTATCCTTTCCACTTCTTCCTTCCTTCTCTCCCCTTCCTCCTTTCCTCTTTCCCTTCCTCCTCCTCCTCTTTCTCTCTCTCTCTCTCTCTCTCTCTCTCTCCCTTCTTGCTCTCGTTTATTTCTCATTATCTTGCTTCCTTCTATCCTTTCCACTTCTTCCTTCCCTTTCTCCCTCCCTCTCTTGCCCTTCCCCCATTTCCTTTCCTTCCTTCCTCTTTCTTTTTCTTTTTCCCCCCTTTCCTTCTTTTATTCTTGCTTTTTCCATCCTTTCTCTCCCTCTTTTCCGGTCTAATGGAACAGGAAATATGAGGTCCATTAGCCACTTTTAGCTGCAGGATGAATGACCCCCACCCCCACCTCCCCAGCACCACCACTGGGCCCTATTTATTTATGTCTTCCTGGTAAGCGTGCCCTGACCAGACGACGCTCTTGCTTACAAACCACCACGCGTCCATCCAGGCCATTTCGCCTCCGGTTTAGGGGCTAATGAAACCTTGGGCCAGGCCGGCCACCCAGGCCAAAACAAACCCTCCACTCCAAAGCCTGTGGTGTAATGAGGACGTTTAATTAAGGCCCCCCATTACAGCTGTAAATGTGCACTGACATAATAAGGTCTAAATGAACCCAAGCCTAATCAAAGTTACAATTCCTTCATTAGCAAATTACAAGCAAGAGTCCACAGCTGACACACGGGCTCAGATTATCACAACTAATTGCCTCGCTGCTACATGCCGGCCGGCAATGGCGTTCAGATGTCCGTCTGCGAGAGACGGAGCGAGGGCCGCATCAGGCGGAGGCTGGATCACAAGGGGCCCTTGTGCCGAGCTCTGATTTACCCCCGCGGACCAGCAGCCGCGCCAGGCGCTGCGCGAGGCCCAATCAAAGGCCGGCCACAAAGGCAGCCTTTGAAGGCGGCTCAGTCTCTCCGAGCCCTCCATATGCGAGCGGGCAGACTGCACTTCATTAGGGCATGTTGTCACATTTTCCCTCTTCTTATTCTAATGATCCCATTTTAATACACACAGGAACCTCTCCTAATTGATGTCAAGTGAGTGACTTCCACATTCATCAACAGAACACATCAAACACGCATTGGCTCACAGGCCCAGCATCCTCGAGCGAGCGTGAGGCTCGAGGTGTGGCTCCGATGGAAAGGGAGAAAAAAAAAAAAGGGACAGGGAGGGGGGACGGCCACGTACCTGCTTAATTGGAATTGCACGGCCACTTCCAATGCTGTCCGCTCGACTTTCCAGGCTTTTTTTCTCTTTGTCTGGGTCGCTCCCTTTACGAGACTGCAGAGAAAAGGAAAGTTAGCAATCGGGGAAATGCGGCGGTTCCTAGACGGGGCCCTGCCCCACGGGGAACGTGCTCTGAAAATGCCCATCTTGGTGACAATGCGTATCCTGAAACCATGGACTTGGGCTGTGAAACAGAGCTCCCATCTTTCTCTCCCACCTCCCCACCACAAAATCATCTTTTAATTTTTTTTTTTTAAGAGTTCAAAATTCAATTACTGGAAACCAATGGACCATATAGGAAAGTAACGCCCAACAGGAAAAGGCATTTTCCAAGCCTCCATTAATAGTAACAAGGAAGAAAAAAAAATAAAAGAGGGTTCGAACTTCAGATTTGGAAAACCTACTGTATCGATTTATATATTTAATTAATGCTGGAATGACTTTTAAAATTCTATTAATGGCTCGGCAGGGCAATTTAATGGCACGCCCTGGATTAGTCACAAGTTCATTTAATTTTTTTATTGCTTTGGGGAGGTGAGAAAGTAGCAAACTCAAAGTCAAGTCAGCGTCTGATTCTGTTCTGAACTAAATAAACACAAATCCCAAGAGGAAGGCTCCCTCGGGCACCGTGGCAAGGTTCAGGGGGGCGCGGAGGCCGAGGGGGAGAGCCGCGGCTTCGCGGCACGTCGCTTCTGCCGAAAGAAAGGACCAGGGCTGCACTTGTATCTTTACAGAACCGAGGACATACACAACGAGTTTACTAAAAGCAAAGCGTCAGGAGGGCCCCCATCTCCAGGCCCTGCCTTTTACGGCATGAGAACGTGTGAGCAAAATGATTTTCTGACAGATTTATTTTATTATGAGAGAAAGATCTGGGACTCGTCCTCCTTAATAACCTTCCTGACAAGTGACAACTTCACTCCATTACTTTTCAATGGGAACATTACTCACGCAATATTGAAAATGGGGAAACATTTTCATGTGCTTTTCAAATCTCAGATGATATATGAAACGGAGGGAGTCGTGGTGTCCGGCGCGACGGTGGCGAGAAAGCTCGAGAAACCCAGGCTAAAGGTGATGGGGGAAGTGTTGGCAGCACCAACCGGCGGAGCGACTGGCGGAGACTCGGGAGTCAAAGGCCTATCAGGGCCAGCGTCCAGACCCTTTTCCAGAGCAGGTGCTGAGGACGATTTGGGAAGGGGCAGAGGACGCGCTAGATGACGAACAAACCAGATCAACATACCCGAGGCGAGGCAGAGGAAAGGGCATTTGGTTTGGCTTTGGCCCAGATTGGTGACTGCCTCAGGGTATGTGTCCGATGGCACAAGAGAGACAGAAACACAACAGTCTGAGTCACAAACCAACTGAGAGAGAAGGGGAGGGGACCGTTGAGGACTTTCAGTCTGGAAAGTCCCTCCACCAACCTGTTCTCTCCCTCCTGTAGTCTGCCTTGGACCCTTTGTCTGAAAAGCACCCTGGTCTTATCCCAGGCTGCCTTAACTCACACTTTTCGGTGCATAGCCCACCCCCCAGTCCCCAGTAGAATGCCAGCTCTTGTTACAAGATCAGGATGGCGCCATTTTGAAAATCTTTGTATCCCAAACACTCAATAGGCACATAATATAAAAAGCAGGCACATATCGAATGCCTATTGAATTATTTATTTTATTTCTTTTTAGGCAGTTGGGGTTAAGTGACTTGCCCAGGGTCACACAGCTAGTAAGTGTCAAGTGTTTGGGCTGAGGCTGTATTTGAACTCAGGTCCTTCTGACTCCAGGGCCGGTGCTCTATCCTCTGCGCCACCTAGCTACCCCTTGCCTATTGAATTAAATTGAATTTACGATGACTGCAAGGTAGAAGAAGAGAACAAAATCTCTTCAGCATGATTTTAAGGTCAAGTGACCACTTCCCCATAACTCTTTGAAAAGTGGCAAAATGCATAGTACGAATAGCCATCCTCTATTCACACGGATATTAGTTTATTGAATGATCTCCAGCCATGTTGGAGAAGTTGACTATATACAGTCACTTGGCATTTTTCAGTAGGTGTTTGATATACTTTGGACAGTTTATTTGTTCTGCTGTCACTTCGTCAGTAGGAAAGTACACCCCCACATCCCTGAACACCAATGAGGGAAAGAACAGTAACACAGCTAATGTACTGTTTGTTTGTTTGTTTTTTTAAAGTTGAAGAACTAAGCTAAGACTTCATGTTCTGGCATCATGGGATTGATGATATTGGGTATAGAAAGAGGACTCCATCACCAAAAAGAAATGAGTCAAAGACAAGCCCAGGACTGCATTGCCCTGCACACCAGGGCGTGTCCCTGACAAACGGTATCTTTGGTTGAGTTTTGTTTGACAAGACTTATGACTCCATCCCTTGTAGGGACACCAGACCAAGGAAGTCTTTCCCCAGAGCAGATCACCACTCACTCTTTATCTTCTTAAAGAGACGTGCACGGGGCACAGACAGGTGAAGGGATCGGTCCAACGTCACACAGCTAGGTCACAAGTGGGACAAGTGGCACTCTTGAACAAAGAGAGTTGTCACTTTGGTCTAAATGTAGGCTTCACTGCTAAAATGAGATCTTTTCACCAGTCACAAACACAAGAAAGTGAAGGGAACACATTACTCATTGAATTTCATACTTATGGCCTTGTAAGACAGACCAGAAGCAGAGAGATGGCGAAGGAGTACAAGGCGGCCAGTTAACACCAGCTCGTGGCCAGAACTGGCCTGCCACCAAGATACTGTGGCCTTGAGAAGTGGACCACAGGCCCATCATGAGGCCCAGCTCTTGGCGCTTTTGACTTTAACTTTCTTTTAGCTTTTTTCTCCCCAAGTAATTAGAACAGGCCCAGACAGACTGTCCATGTAACTACCTGCATGCAGGGACTTGGAGAAGTTCTCCAGTGGAATCTACAACAACCACAGAATCCCACGGATGTGGCTTGTACAGGTGCCAGGCCCTGGGCTGAGTGCTAGGGACACAAATAGAGGCAACAAGAGGAGGGCATCTTCCTCTTGTTCCTTGGGCTACGAAGGCAGCGCCAATGAGGGGAGCCAGGCCTTGCCAGGGGCCTCCATCTCTCTTTGACTCAAAAACAAGCACATGAGGAAAACCCTTTGGGTTCCGCTGCTTCTCTGGCAAGGTGTATCGACTTCCCTTTATCAGCATGATGGGTTTTGCCTGGCTTCATTTAGTGGGCATTGGTGCCAAGCCATATGATGAAATTAAACGGGAAGTTTAAGAAAATCCCACTCACCAATGCCATGCACTCTCTGGTCAGTCCCACTTTTTGGTCCAATTGGGAATAGGAGGACGGGAAAGGGAGCTGAGCGTAGGAGGAAGGGGCGGCCTCAGGAAGGGTGGGCTCCCCTCCCCTGCAGGCCTCCGTACCCAGGTCAGACCTTGGCCCAGGCAGAAGTGGAAGGTCCGCCCTCCTCCCTCCTTTCAAAATCCAGCCCAAGGGCTGCCTTACACAGAGAGCCTTTCCTGATCCCTTGCTGCTATCTCATCACCTGAAATTAATTCTGTGTTCATACACGCATGTTATCTAATAACAACGCCAATAACAGCCATCACGTATACGACACTTACAGGTTTACAAAATGCTCTACATATTCTACATATCTTATTGATCCTCATCCCAACCTTGTGAAGGAGGTGCTATTATTCCCACTTTATAGATGAGTAAACTGAGTCAGAGAGAGGATAAGTGATTTGCCCTGGGTCACACAGCTAGTAAGTATCTGAAGCCAGATTTGAACCCAGATTTCAACCACAGACTTCCTCTCTGCTCCATGACGTATGTGGAAATGCTTGTTTTCTTTGGGCTTTGTTAAGTTCAAATCTGGTTTGAACCCAAACTCCGACTCTGGATCACTGTCTCCTTCCTAAGAGCTTAATAAACCTTGGTCTAATTCAATGATCCAAGCAAGGGCAGGGTAACCTCTTGTCGGGTTGGGGGAGAGTAGGTTCTTGGTCAGGTGACAATGGATGACCAGATGGCCACCAAGGTCCTTACCATCCTGAAATTCTGAGCCTCTTCAAGGATTATGGACAATTTTTTGACTACGTTGGTGACGAGCAGAGTCGTGGATGTCGCACGACGGGGCAGCCGCCTGCTCGTGGCCAGGATGTCGTGGAGCAATCGTGGGCATCCCCAAAGACAAACAACTGTCTAAGTGATCCCACACTTCCAAAGTGTGGAGAAAAAGCGCGGGCCACCCCTTGGACGCGGCAGTCACACGCGCACACAGAGCCACTGTGTCAACGGCATCATCTTCAGGTCGAAGGACCCGCGAGCAGGGAGCGTGTCTGATGCTGGAATAAAAGCTTCTACCCACGTCCAGTCGAACGGCCGGGGGCCCCTTTGAGAAGGAGGGGGCCCCTGCAGCTCTCGGCAGATACACAGCAACTACTAACAACACGTGCTTGATGAGTCCTCGAATGGAAGCCCCATGAGGGGAGGAACTGTATCTCAGGTTTGTTTTTTTCTTTGTGTCTGCCCAGAGGTTGGTGCCCAGGGACTAGATCTGTAATTCCATTGGTCAATGAGGGCGCTGCCCGAGGAGGAAGCTCTGCTGAAGCAAACTGGCACAGACTCTGCCACTTGTGGTTTTGGCTTACTGTCTAGAGGACTGTGAGGCTAAAGACTTACCCAGGGTCACTATGTGAAAAAGTAGCTTGAGGTAGGATTTGAACCCAGGTCCTCTGGCTCGACATACACGGTGCCTTCACTGGGCTAAGCTGCCTTTGTGGGATCACTTTAGCCTCATGAAAAATAAAACAGCCAAGCAAAGGTCTAGTGCCCCCTTCTCCGTGGGGCCACTAATACAGAGACGCATCATTTTCCCTGCGCGGCGGGGGCTGCCTCACTTTTGCCTTCATATCCCCAGGTCCTGGCATAGGACGTAATGGACGGCATAGATGCTTCTTCAATGAACGCTTCTTGATCTGTCTAATTACAGCTTAATTAATAAATGACGTAATACAAACTAACAACATAATAAATAATAACAATGTAATAATCATAAATAGCATTTT